CAGCGGTTGGGGAGGGTGAGAGGGACCAAGGCCCGGGCGGGCTGGGGCTGTGCGCTCATCCTCCGCTCTGTCCCCACAGGTGACCAAGGTGCTGGGCCGGACCGGTTCCCAGGGGCAGTGTACACAGGTGAGGGGGGCAGGACGGGTTGGGGCTGGGAGGGAGCGGGGCCATCGCACGCTGGGCTGACACGTTCTCACCCCGCAGGTGCGTGTGGAGTTCATGGATGACACGAGCCGCTCCATCATCCGCAACGTCAAGGGGCCGGTGCGGGAGGGCGACGTCCTCACGCTGCTGGAGTCAGAGCGTGAGGCCCGGCGGCTGCGCTGAGCTGGTGAGTGTTGGGGGTACCAGTGAGCATGGGGCTGCCTGTGTGGTCTCGGTGGCCTCCCCCACTGCTCTTTAAACCACTGTGGCCTCCACTGTTGTGTTCTAGGTGATGCAGGCTGACGGCGTGTGCTTGGGGTGGTCGGTTGCCATCTGCTCGGCCAGATGCAGGTCATGGATGGAGAGGAGCGTGGCAGTTGTGTTGCTGCAATAAAGGTCTCGCTTACTCAATGTGTGAGTGCTCCATTGGTCTCAGTATTTATGCATGCAGTTTTTGTTGCTGGGTCCAGCAGAGGAACAAAAGCACACCCTGCTTATTCCTGGGGTTATACGTGCTGCCTTCATTGTAGTATTGCTCCATTCTTGCATTTGTATTGACCTGTCACAACAAAAATAACACTTCTGATTACAGCAACCTCAATCCCTGTTTTTGTGGTAAGAATTCTGCATATAACCAGTAAAGTGGCACTGCTGAACTTACTGGTCTTCTGTGGAATTCGAGTACAAGTTCAAAGTCAGCTTGCAAAGAACAGCTGGCTGCTTTTGTCCTTCTGTACTCAGTAAGCAGTTCTATAAATACACCTATTTGCTGTCTTTCCTGGCAATCACTCACAAGGAGAGTGCTTGTCTCCCCTTAGAAGAGTTGGCAAGTCAATCTCACTTATGTTCTTCCTCAGTTTTCCCTTTCAGTAAGAAGTCAGCTAGAAAGATTTATTGGTATCTATTAGATGAAGTAAAAGTAACACTGAAAGGATGAGGAATGAACCTGAAAACTGTTATGGTCTGAGGGCTGCTTTTTAGGTGCTGGTGCTTTCCATCTGGTAGTAAAGTGACACTGTTTTGTGGTGTGTTTGAACCCAGTCAAGTGTGCAGCTCCTGATCCTGTGGTCTCTGCTGGGAGTGTTCTTCATCCTTCAACGTCCTGAACTTGATTAAGGCACCTCAAGAGTAGGTGGGATTGAGGGTTTGAGTACCTGGAGCTGAGGAGGGCACTCCTGGAATAGATGTTTGAATTGCTGCACTTGGCAGACAGTGAGGATTGTTGCTGGGGCTGGTGGAAGACTGGTTGGTTGGGGTTTTTCTCCCCTCCTGCAGGTGTTGTGCTCTGGTCAGCTCATGGGCAGCCTAAGGAGGATTTTGTGCTCTGGAGAAAGCCCGCATTGATACGTGCTTGTGTTGTTGCTTGATCTAGTTTTTGATTCTTGGGAGGTGGTTCAGTTTTAGGGCATCAGGTGAGTCCGTGCTCCCCTGGTTCATGTGTTGCCTCAGAGTTTACTTCTCTCGCTGCTCTTTGTTCCTGCACAGCTTCAGCATGACCAGGCCCTGTCTGTGCTGAGTGACAAGGCAGGAAGCTTCAGCTGTGAGTTGGTGGCCAGACAGATGTCAACTTGTCATGGGGGTGGCTCAGAGCAGTTGAAGCCCTTCCCAGATATCCCTGTGGGGTCAGCGTGGTCCTTGGCCACATGGAGGGGGGTGACTTTGCATCCCCACTTGAACTGATGATGATAATACAGCTTAATAGCGGAGCGCCAGGGAGAACCAAGGGTAGTAAAGGGCTACATCTGGTGCTAGGATCCTGCTTGGTCCTGTGGAGTGAAACAGGACAGATGATGCCATGACCCAAAAGACTGGGATATTTTGGGTGGCAATAAACTAACTGATGTATGTAGCCAGTCCATAAACTGGCAGGGAAAGAATGGGAATGGGAGGGCTGTGCCAGGCTGTCCTTCTGCTGAAGGGTTTTACCTTGAGCCAGAGACTGCTGCTGGGTCACTGCAAGATTTCAAAATAAGTTTACTTAAAACTTTTATTTGTATCTTAAAAATAGACATCAGTATTAAAACATCAGTAACCAAACCTGTGAGACCAAAGCAGTGAGTATGGAGTACATCCAGAGCAGTGCAGAGGGAGGCTGTGAGCGCTGTGTGTTAACTTCAGTGCAAAGCTGAGACAGGCCCATTGCCACCACAGCGGCGTGTCAACTGGAACCAGTTTCCTGGGAGCATTTCCCAGCTCACAGCACGGCTCACACCAGGCCTGGGGCAGGGGGTAAGAGTGATGCTGGGGAGCCAAGGAGCAGAAATGGGGGCTGTGACATGTCACCTCTGTGAAGGCTTCAGAGCAGAGCCAGCTTCACATGCAAAACCCTTCTCCTTTTCCCTCCCAGTCCTTAGAGCTTTCCTTGTCTGTTCCCACCCTGCCGGCTGCACACACATTCACATACACGTCAACTGACATACGTGTCCATCTCTACAGCTTCCTCTGAGCTCTTCTTGCCCATCTTTTTCTCCCTGGAGCTATATGAGCTGCTCTTGTCCCCTTTGGGAAGGCAAGTGGGCAGAGGGGCTTGGTTGGGGCTCTGGTTGCCTTCACAGTAAGTGGCTACTGACTGTCTTTCCCTTGGGAGGAGGTCCCTGCTCCCTGTGTGGGGTATCTTAAATATCCCTTAATGCATTAATGACTCGGACCCCTCCTGTCAGCTCAGTGGCACCCCTGGGTGCTCAGCGCTTTTGCATATCAAATCACCAAGTGCTTTCTTGTTCAACTCCATCCTTTTGACTAAGCAATGTAATTCTTTTTGCTTTGTGTGCATGTGCTAGGGGGAAAAAATCAGATTTCAGCCAGGAAAGGAAATGCCAGACGAGAAGGAGCAGGATTTCAGTCTGGAATTGCTCCAAGGCAGCACTGACCAGTGGGTTTGTGTCTTCCCCCTGGCACCGTGTAGCACAGCAGGGTCCAGGAGCTCTGCTCCTTGTCACCAGCTCTACTCTTCCCCAGAGCTGCCAGGAGCTGGCCAAGAGAGAGCAGGAACCATGTGCCACTTCGGCTGGGTTTGGTTGCTTCTGGTCCAGCGAGTGAAGGACTTGCAAAGGGCTCCGAGGCAGTGCAGGGCTGATGGGGAGCAGAGGGGATGGGGCCAGCTTCTGCTCATTGTTTCCCACCCCAGGTAGCTTGATGCTTGCCTCCTCTGTCACTTGGTGGAGCAAGGTGGCCGTGCTTGGGCTGCTTCCAGCAGTGGTGAGGCCCAGGAACAGCGCATACTCTGTGACAGGAGGGCTAAAGCATCTGCATGGCGTGATTGAGCAGGTGAGAGGGACATAAACCATAGCCTGGTGCTGAGGGCTGGCTCCTGAGGTCGCTCTAATTTGGTTTCTTTGGGCCTCCAGGGCTCTTGGTGGCTGTTGGTGATGTCCCCTGCTGCAGAGAGAGCAGAGTGAATGTCACTCCAGAGTCACACAGTGTTACCCCAGCAACTCCCAGTGAGGGCCAGCCAGGCTGGTACCCTGCTGCTGAGGATGCAGCGAGTATCTGGCACTCGGGGTGCTCTGCTCTTGCCCTTGTCACAGCCCTACTGCCTGCAGCTGAGCTGGTGCCACCTCTGGTACTCACGTTGAGATGGGCATAGAGGAGCACAGCGATGTTGCTGTGACCAGCCTCCAGCGCGATGGCAACGGCGTTGTTCCCATCCTGAAAACACAAAGGAGAGCCCTCGGGAAGAGGTCTGGGGGGCAGGATGCAGGTGGGTGAACATGCCCGGGCCCCAGAGGCTTACACTGTCCACGATGGAGACGTTGCAGGTGGGCTGAGCCAGCAGCAGCTTCACGGTCTCCACACGCCCGTGCTCACAGGCACACATGAGCGCCGTGGAGCCCTCCTCGTCCTGCAGGTTCACATCAGCTCCACAGGCAAGCAGAGCCTCCACCATCTCCTGCCGGCCATGGCTCACAGCCAGCATCAGCGCTGTCTGCCCGGCCTGCGAGGCAAGGGACAATGCCAGGGAGGCCTGTCCTGGCTGGGCCGCCCGCTCACCCCACTGCCCCAGGCAAGGACCACACTGCGAGGAGCTCCGAATGCAGCACCAGCCCCTCCAGGTTTTGGAGCTGTCCTTGGAAGAGCCAACTGTGGCCCTTGGTGATGCACTGAGGGTCAGGACGCGATGCACCAACCTGGCTGGCCTTGGCGTTGACGTTGCCCATGCTGAAGAGCCTCCTGACCATGTTCATGTCATCTTCCTGCTCGACGGCCGCCAGTGCTGCCAGCATGAGGGCTGTGTAGCCAGCTTTGTTCTGGTGGTCCACGTTACAGACCCCTGTGGGCATAGGCAGAGCTCAGGGTGCTGCGGGGCTGGTTCCCACCCTGCCCAGGGTGCTGTGAGCTGTCCTGTGGCCTGCTGATGGGTTCCCTCCCATCAAATCTGGGCTTCCCGAGGGCTGGGGTGACTTCCCAGCTCCCCACACGTGCATGGACACAGCCCAGGGCAGCTCTCCCTGCTGCTGGCACTTGTGTCCCATGCCTGGCATGGCCATGATGTGAGTGGGGTGGTGGCGGGGGGACACTTGTCAGGGTGGGGAGCACTGACCTGTGTCCAGCAGCAGCTGCACGATGTGGAAGTTGGAGTGGGAGACGCTGTAGTGCAGGGCTGTGTTGCCATTCCCATCTGCCAGGTTCACCACGTGGGCCAGGAGAGCTGGTGACACCTCAGCAAAGGCCAGGAGGTGGTTGGCCACCATGTCGGGCACAGAGGACTTCTGCACTCCTGCAGGACCAGGCTGCTGCTGGCAAGCTGTGGGCAGCAAGAGGGGCTGAGCTGGGGCACTGCACCCCCCAGCCCCAGTGGGGGGCAGAAATCCAGCTCCAGAGGGTAACGGGGTGAAGGCAGCACCCTGAAACCCCAAGCTCACGCTGAGATGGCCTGAGCTGGGGTTTGGGGTATCTGGGACAAAGCGCAGAGCAAAGGGTTGTGTTTTGGGGAAAGGTGCTGAGCTGGCCTTTGCTGGCCCATTTTTGGGGGACGCCAGCAGCCATCCCACCCCATAGCACCCCACTCACCACCTCTTTGCTCTTGGTGGCCCCGGGGTGGCCCAGGTGGGTCTTGACGATGAGGCAGGCCTCCCGCATCCTGGGGCTCAGCTCAAACCTGGGGAGAGCATGAGGGGGGCTGCATCACCCCACCAAAGGGCACCCCAAGTCCCTCCATCGAGGTTTTGTTCCTTTCCCTGATGCTTCCACCCCTCCATGAGCTCCATGGCTGCACCCAGCAGCTTCAGCCTCTGCAAACCCCTTGCAGAGCTGGGCTTATAGGGATGAGCTGAGGCACGATTTACCCATATTTAAGCCAGAAATGCCATTAAGGGCTGTTGGTTTTTTAGTTTGGGTTTTTTTTTGTCCCCCTCCAAACTCTTCAGCAAAGAGGCATCTGGGGCCTCGGTCTCATCCTTTTCCTCAGCAGACCCGAGAAGCT